AAAACTAGACTTTTTCTGACGAACATAACATCGTACATGCATAGTAGTACTCTTTTCTGGCACCATAGACACATACTGACGTACGTTTTACCTACTATAGGCTGATGTGTCCCATGTACATTAACGTGCTTTGTTTTCCTGAAATGAGTTGTCCAGGCACGTTTTATTGCCTTCTTACTAGGCAATGTTCACTGCGGCAGTGGAAGATCCATAAGCATGGGTTTTTGTTATCTGACCTTCTGAATGCAAGTCTTAGTAAACTTTCCGGCGAAAATCGTGCAACTCAATCGTTTATGGAATAAAAATACCGTTTTTCACAGCGAGTCGTCGGTGCCTGGAACGGGCTTCCCGAGGACGTAATAATGGCGGATACCACGGAGACGTTCAAGCAAAGACTCGATGCATATTTGCTTGGACACTATCGCTTGTCTGAACAGAACAGCTCTGTGGTGCTAAACCAACGCCTTGCATACTCATACCGCTAATGCGGATGACCGTCATTATATTTTACTGAAATCATCTACAACTGAATGTTCTAAAGTTTTGGTTCTACATTTTCACGGAAGATATTATGTTAAATGTGTATATTGCTGACAATATTTCAGTACCATGTTTATTTATAGTGAGATATTGCATGTACCGTTTACAATAGGGTTTTCAAAGGCACTGCCTATTACTCTTAAAATATACTGACCTATACTGACCTAAAAACGAGGGATAAACGTCCCAGGAACAAAGTTTGAAAAGTCGGCCGACTTTTAAACGGCTTTGCTTCCTCAGCTACACAAGAAAACCAGATGTTGCTTCACCATTATGGATTTTAATATATAAGGGATCCCCATCGCCTTAGCAAACAAAATAGGAATCTTATGACGAACGTTCCATCCAGTTTTTCAGACAAATTTTACGAATGTAGGCGGAATACGTCTCGTCTATTAAGGATGACATGGAGACAACGAATGAGAAATGTACCTTAATAAGACACTGGAATAGTGACCTCCTGTGATACAGATTACCTTGAACTAAATCCCTATTTCCTAGCGCTAGCCCATACCTTTAATCTAACCCGAAACCTGACCCTTATATTAACCCTCACCTTAACTTGCCTTGATCCTAACCTTACCCTAACCCTAATCCTGAAGCTAACCTCAACTTTAAACATAACCTTGACCTCCCTGGATTTAGTTCAAAGGCTCCCTGTACTAACGGGGGTTCCTATTTTCGTGTCCTGTCAACACACTTTAGTTGATTAAATTGTCTCTAGGAATTTTCGAATTTCAAGGGACCGGAGGTTTCAGTATTAAATGTAATTCATCTGAAACTCTATAACTCGCCCGTTAAACTGACTAGGCTCTTGTCGGTCTTGTTAGACGAATCCCTCATACCGCAATTCAGTCTTCTAACCATAAACTGACAAGGAATACGATTTTAGTAAGAGCGGCAATCCTGTGGTTGTAGACAGTTACGGATACTTTCATATTTCGCCATGTGTAGTCGCACGAAGTGAAGCATTAAAACAACTGGTCTGTGGAAAAAATTCTAACCTCTTGTCTAACACCACAGACGATTTCCAGAAAATGAAATGTCGAATAATCACGCCGCCATAGACAATGCGCAGTTGGTTACAATGGTTGGATTAAGGTTAAAGGGCCTCAATCCCATAAATCCACTGCACAAAGGTTTCACATAGTATACCTCACCTGTGAATTGTCCAGCAGCTGACAATTAGTGTCAAATACAAGCATTTTAAATTAATTGCAAACGTTCTTGTGAGTCGTCCCTATCCAGTCTCTGCTTGGCGGCAGCAGATGAAGCTCACAGTTCGAGAGAAAGACATCCCACAAAGTTTAATCCTGGTACCCAGTTGTTTCCTTAGGCCTTATAAGGGACTTGAAAGAAGTAGATTTATATATCACGACCTGGAAGTCATTCTTTGCAATTTTAATGAACAGAATTCTAAAATAAATCGCATTGTGTTGTTTGATATCGTTGCACTTGACCCTCCCCTGGGAACATTCATTCTCCGAATAGAAGACTCCTGCTGTCTCCAGAAACGCATAAAGTCCTCATTTTTTGATGGTGGATGCTAAAGTCATCGAATCATTTTTATGAGACGCATAACATCGCAAGTTGAATGCTGCGCTCAACCAAGAATTCCTTACAATTATTCCTGAAAATTGTTTTCCTGTGTATTTGGAAGCTTATACTGTTGGTGACGCAAACCAAGAGTTAAGAACACTAGAGATTAGATGGTATCTCATCTGGACCAAAAGATTTAATTTTATTCCAAAACGCCAGCTAATAAAAAGTAATTTTGCCACAAAACGAAATGTTTTCAGTAATCGAAGTCCTCGCATAGGTCATTATAGGTCAGTATATTTTAAGGGTATCAGGCAATGCCTTTGAACACCCTATAGAGGACGCTGCATGCAATATCCAACTTTAGATAAACGTTCTATTGAAATTTTGTCAGTAATATACACACTTAACAGAACATTTTCTTTGAAAATGCAGGGCCGAAACTCCAGAACATTCAGTTGTAGATGACATCGGTAAAATGAAGTGACAATCATCCGCATTAGCGGCAGGTGTTTGCACGGCGTTGGTTTGATAACAATAACTTTATCAAACAGCTTGACAAGAGATGGAGTTTTATAAACACCTAGATAATTTCAAATATCATAACGAGATCTAACTTTAAATACTGGAAAAATAACAGAAGTTTTCCAACAATCAGCAAGGAAACCATTCCTGAGAAAATCTGAGAAGACTTTTACCACTGGAGTAGGAAAATCTCTTATCTGCTTAAAAAGAGGGTTTCTTGAAATCGACGTAAGCAATGTCGACCCTTGTTTCTTCGTCTAACGAGCGCGACCACTGTTCATTTGAATAGAGCGTATTAGTTAGGCAGGAGTGACTTCGTCGAAAACCATGTTGGGAACTAGCAATGAAATTATTTTCTTAAAGGAACTTCATTATGGCTTTTTTGACTATTCTCTCCATGAATTTGCAACAAATTCACGTTAGGCCCATTGGCCGATAATTGTTTACACATGGTCTAGATCCACCCTTGTGAAAGGGGTATATCTTCGCCACTTTTCAATCAGAGGGGAGAATGTCTCGGTCAAAGAACGAACTGAAGATATGCAAAGGCGGTCAAGCGAGTTCGCAAGCCTAATCCCTCAGAACTTGTAATAATAATAATAATAATAATAATAATAATAATAATTTTTATTTAATGTCAGTTTACGGGCATTGTCAGGGAAGCGTTTAACACAAATCCGGCCAGAGGTGAAAAAAACGCCTGTGGAAAAGGAATAAAAATATAGTTGACGTAGAGTTTCCGTGCTAAGGAATCGGCAAAAGTTGTGATTCCTTCCACAAGGTAGGATAAGTATCACTTTCAAGAGCGAGATTAAATATCTTGCATAAGAGGGATGGGAAAATCGTATTTGCATCGGCTTCTAAAATGCTTACTGTGACACCATCAGTTCCTGGACTATGAGATTGACGAAAACGCCGAATCGCAACAGTCACATCCCACAGAGTGGAAGTTATAGTTTCTAGAGCTGCTCCGGTCAATGCCTGGATGGTCGGAAGCGGAGTGGTCGAGTCTTCAATAAACGTTTTGGACAGGAAATCATTAAAGCTATCAAAGATTAACTGGGCATCAACTATGGGATTTCCGAGAGCGTCTCGGAGGATGGGATGCTGCGTCCTTCTATGATTTCGTGTTTTTCTAGAGAAAAGTTTCGAGACACTTAACGAATGGTTTTCGGTGAACTGGACCTCTTCGGCTAGCTGTTTTTCTTCAGACAATCTCTTAGCTCGATCAAAAATATCACAAATCAAGGGCAGGACAGAAACGTCGTTCTGAAGATGGAATCGACGAGAAGGTCTGCGCAATCTGCGACGAAAGGGTAAAGGTAGGAAAACCTCATCCCCAACATTAATAATTTTCTTACGGGGGACAAAACGAGAAATAAGCGGATCCAAAATTTTGTACAGTTTTGCATTGCAAACATTTACATCCGAGCTAAGGAAGAAATCAGTCCAGTCGTAGGAATTAAGGTGCATTTATAATTCGGTTGAGCGAGTTGATCGGAAATTGCGGAAAAAGCTATGCTTTGGGGACAACGTTTTGTCAGCCTCAAATTCCAACGTTGAATTAACTATGTCATGGCCTGAGCACCCGAGTGGGCCTAGGGATGACGCTGACGATGGCATGCAGCCTCCACAAAAAAATTAGGTGAAGTATGCTTGATCCTCGGGTGGGAAAATCGACAACCTGAGTCCACATCCCAACATCGACAGTCTCAAGAAAGTCTTCAAACTTTCTGGGGCCTGAAGGCGGAGACCAGCAGACTTCGGGAAGATTAAAGTCACCCGCAACCAATTAATACTTAAAGTTTGAGTCGGCCGCAGCATGAAATGCCTGTGAGATTAAACGAGCAAAATTGTCATTGGCGTTGGGAGGGCGATAAACGCAGCCAACGAGGAAGGAGAACTTATTTTTTAGTGCAACCTGGAGCCAGCGGCTGCCTTCTACTGCGGAAAAAAGGCGGGAGGTCAAGCGGCAAAAATGTAAGTGTTTGCTTAAAGTAGAAGCAGCTGCCCCCAACACGGCTGTCTTGGCGATCATTTCGAATGCAATTATAGCCTAGAAGCCAGAGTTCGGATTTAGCTACGGAGGCTGACGCCCACGTCTCAGTTACTAGAACAATATCTGGACAATGGACGAAAGCCAAAGTCTGAAGCAAGGGCATCTTAGTAAGCAAAGATCTGGCATTTAAAACAAAAAGTTTGAAGGTAAAGACTGTTTGTTTTTGAGGGAGGTGGGTTACGTCGTCCAGTGCTTGGCTGCCCATGGAGCAAACGGTCCGGATGCAACCATCCGGTTCCACAAAAAGATTTTGTGGCATCAAAAGATTCTGGCGTGAATAAAAAGGGGTAGGACTTGGGGTCTGGACCCGGAGACTTACCCTCCTTAAGCGCTAGAAGTTCCTTCCTCACATCTCCTTCCGTGAAGTCAATTTTTTCTATTATTTCGTCGGCTGTTCCAGTAGGCAACACAGCCTCTTAAAAGTCCGTTTTATCGGTAAAAATAGATACGGAAAATCAGCCAAGATGTTCTGCTTTAGCGTCATTTTCGATGACATCCTCATTGTTTTCTCCACTCAACATTAAGAACGTTTCCTTGTTCTTTAACTTACTGTTGGTGTAAACGAAGAGCACTTTTGGCTTATCGATGGCCCGTTCCATAACTCGCGTTTCATACTCTTTCTGTGACCTGTGGATAGCCGGCCTAACCTCGTTTCGCCTTCGACGAAACTGCTCATAATAAGACGGTTGTTTTGTTGCTGCATACCTTCTCCATAGTTTTTTTTTTCTGGTTTATTTCTTTCTTTATATCTCGCGTTATCCAGGCAGGACGACTATTCTTTTTGACTTTATTTGGCGGACGGTTTCGATGCATGATGTCGATTACAACTCCTTTGATAATTCATATTGACCCAACTGTGAAAAACTCGGCGCCTCGGTGGGATTCGAACCCACGCAGTAAGGGGAAGGCTTTAGCGCAGCCAACGCTCTAACCACCTGAGCTACGAGGCCCCGCCGGACGACGCGAGTTTAATCACATGTGGGTCAAGTTACCCGCCCAACCTACTGCAACGTCTGGAATCCACCAAATCTGATACAGTAAGTTGACTGCCCAAGCAGGATTTCCTAAGTAATTCACCTAGAATCCACCAGATGACTACCAGGCTCGCGTAATTCATTGATGTTTTGGCAGAATTTTGCATTATTCATATTGACCCAACTGTGAAAAACTCGGCGCCTCGGTGGGATTCGAACCCACGCAGTAAGGGGAAGGCTTTAGCGCAGCCAAAACATCCTTTGATAATGTTGCAATCAACGTCTTGATGTCCGGAACGAGCATCATTCCAGTCCGCTGCCGATAATTCCCTTCTCATGGCGGCAAAATCTCCTCGCGAGAGATTCAGCCGAGGCTCATTTGTATTCACTTGTTGGCTGCATTGGTGGTATTCCCAAAACAGCATGACATGGTCACTCTTACCGGGCGGACTTATGGACCTAAGTTTGCCAGGACTAATTTGCTCTTTTGTAAGGACGAGATCCAGACAATTTTCTCTTTGGTCCTTTCTGATCCTGATTGGGAACGTGACGTTTTGCACCAAAAAGAGATTAGCCGTTAGCATCAAGAGCCTGGAATCAAAGGAATTTCGCGAAACATTTGCTAATAAATTGTTCGACGGCACAGCCATAGGTGAGTCGGTATGAATTAATTAGTGACACCACGCAAATAAGATCAGCAGGGGAACGTCTTCATTGCGCAAATACTGTACACAGGATTTCATCGTCGCGATCGACAATATCCACCGCATGTCCATCGGTTTGGGTGCAGGACCAGTGACTTGCGCATGAAGAAGTTCGCAGTGAGGCAGGAATGTGCGGCACCTACCGCACTCTAACTTCCCTCACCCACCCTGCTCCGAGGCTAACCAACGTCGAAACGGCCGAGATTCCGCGCGAGCTAAGTGTCCGACAGGTCTAAACATTTCGTCCATGCCTGGCACGTGTGACACGCGCGGTCTGGTGTGCCCATATGTATCAGGCTTTTTAGTTCAGTTTATTTGGTAAGGATAATAGGCAAAGCCTTTGAAATCCCTATTGATTACATGTCAGCTCGTAAGAAATAACTGTACACAAACAAAATATGTTCACTATTGAAACAGTACTTGGTTCATTTGAGAAGCATTGTCTCAGAGAAAATATTTGTCTGGACCAGGGGTATTTATTCAGATTCAGACTGTCGAGGGAAAACAGGGGACACAAATAATCATCCAAGCGTTTCTTGAAGAGTTGCAGGGACGTAGCCTCCACGACTGACTGAGGGAGATCGTTCCATTTCTCCACTACTCTCTGCCTGAAAAATATAGAACGAAGATTCAGCCCGTAACTTCATCGAGTGACCACGAAGATTGGGCGAAAGGTGCCACTGAAACATGTCCTCAAATTTAAGTCCATACTCAAAGCCATGTATTATCGTGTATATGAGGATAAGATCACCTCTTTGTTGCCTGTAACACAGAGGAAATAAATTAAGGCAATTCAGTCTTCCTGTGTAGGATTGGCTTTTTAGACCGTTTACCAGCTTTGTTGCACGCCGTTGTACTCGTTCGAGGCATGCTTGGTCCTTTACTAGCCACGGCCGCCATGCTTGTGACAATGGTCCGGGTCTCGGGTGTGTGAGAATGCCATAAGGATCACCGTGAGAAGGGGCCAATTCAGTCTGGCAGGCTATCCCACAGTTACTCTAAAATACTTTTGAGGATCGGGATATCCCGTCAGCTATTAGTCTCCCAAATCACGATCTTCAGTGCGTCATTCCACAGTTAAGCGTGTCAGATATATTATGGCGAGGAATACGCGGATTTGCAGTGGAGATGGGTTCCTCACTACCGGCCTCAATATCTTATTCTTTTCCATGCACTCATCGTCTGTTCGATCCTATCTACCAAAGATGGTGAACGCAAACGCAGTGTCTGGGAAAGCTGAACAGCCAGACTACGCGTGACATGCATGGCCTGGTCCTTACCCCAGGTGGACCAGCCGGTAGTAGTTAATTCGGTGGATTTTGAATTCAAGACTACTAAAAAAGACATTCTATAGATTTCTATTAGGTCGGAATTTTTTAACTTTTGCTTTTTAAAGGCGTTCTTATAAACACTTGTTTTTGGAATTGGTGGTTGCAAAGTCCTTTCGGGTTTCTTGCTAAACTATGCCTACTTGATATCTTTTTGCATTCTATGATTCGAATTTCGGACTTTCTAGCTTGCCGCATTGGTACAGGTCTTTGTTCTATACAGTTTTTGCGGGGATTGCATCGTAGACTTTGATTGAACTCTAATCACGTTAGTGCCTAAATCGAGCCAACATAAGGCAAAAAGCATCAGACATCCGCAGCTATTTGTCTTCGCAGAAACGGCCACTTCCGCCCGGTTGTTTATGTTCGTCTGCAAAGCCTATCCGTGTTATGTAACCGTAGTGATCAATGTGTTGAATTTCGGTCCACTTTCTCCATTCTTGGTACATGTTCGAGAGTACTGTTCTCGACTTGCCCTCTCAGGATTGTAAACATATTCATTCTTTCGTTAATTTGGCTGCCAAGAAAGCCTGTGACAGACATAGAATAAAGCTTATCTTTCCCCGGGAAAAACACCCTTAGGCCCAGATAACCAACCGATATTACTGCAGATTCTCTTTTCTTATATGTTTTAATTATAAAATAGCTTAAGTAATTTATAGATTGCTGTCAAGCAGAATATTATCGGGCTTTTCTTTGCCAGTAATTATAATAACTGGGCAAGGAAAAGCCCGATTTCGACCCACCGTTTTAACTCGCCAGATCCAAGATAAGTTAAAATTGGTTATTATTCGAAGATTTTGACACATTTAGCATTTATTATCATGTATATTTATTATTGGTGTTTTAGTGTACCTGAGTTCCTAAATCGTTGGAAAAACGTCTAAATTTCTATATAATTCTACTCTAGAAACTATGGCTGATGCTAAAGTTACCGCCAATAAAATAGGTCTCTCGGTCATCTTACGTTCGCAGAACTCTTTCGAGAAATAGGGCCACTAGTTTATGATTCTCGAATCGCTATAAGACCCAAGTACATTTATAAATGGCGTAGGAACCGTATTACAAATGGAATCGATCATGCACTTGATATCATTATGAATCGCAGATCAATCGAAACGCAGATCTAGTATCATTATGCGTAATATACCCCACACAGTTAACTCAACGTCAGCAATCCAACAACTTATACACTCGTGTAGCCTTAACATTTGTACAGCTCTCATCAAACGGTAAAGTTCAAGAAACAAAGATAAACGAGTCTTAGTAACCTCGCATTCACAGACCAAGACCGATCTACTATTAAAAACCCTGAACTAAACGAAGATATGCACAACCTACCATCACTCATAGGTCCGCCCTTACACGTGTGTAAGGACGTAAACTTCAGGGCCAAAACACTGAGTACGAGCGCGATAATCAGCATATCGTTTCTCCAACTGAAACTCTGGCAAGTACTTATAATTATGATACCAATACAAAAAAGTGCACAACCCAGTATAAACAAAATAATCAACAAGCCGCTCCCCAACAGTACCTCTGGCAAGTACTTTTGATTCTAATACTCATAATAAAAAAACATATAATTGCTAAGGCAGTTGGGAAGGGAGACAAATGAAACGAACTCTGCAAGACAAACACCCTACTTGGACAAAATGAGGCCGCAGACCCCGGATGCATCCAAGTAATACTATAAGACAGTAATTTAAGTTCTTCTACGATGCTCCAAAACGCTTAGCCAATAGCAGAAAATGTCGACCAAGCAACACATGCAAACCAAAAAGCCTTATTAAGTAATCCGGCGCAACCAAGTAGCTCAAAATATGTAGACCAAAGAACTGAGAGTACCCCGAATGATCATCAGAAGCGGAAAAGTTTTTATAATAGCACCTCCACTCCTCAAACTACACCTGCGTCACACAGATGTAAACCAAAGCACACTAACTTTTCAACTATCTTAGCACGTAATGACAACCCCACCAATTACCTAGATCCACAAACTTTCCCAGATGAAACCCCATCTGAATTGAACTACGAACTAGTTAGCCTACTTTTCCAAATGAGATCTAACCCATACACAACATCACAATTCAACAATCACAAAATTCCCTCCCTTAAGCCCTTCGCACAATTGAATTGCCTTTGGGCATCATTTTCTCGCCACGATTTACCTCTTCTATATCCAACATCCTAATCATCGCTCTTTATAGCCCATATAGTATCTTAATTAAGTCCTTTTGCTTAAATATATAACCCTCATATAATTTGTATTTCAGCAACATGAACAAATTAATTAATATCGAATGTTTCCCTGTGTGTCTATAATGTCTATCGGCAGGACCGCGTAAAATAAACAAGGCGGAGGTTGTCTGATCTATATCAAGACTCACCTTTGCCAAGTGGTTTTGGTGTTCTTGAGGAAACTTCCGCCGGAGAAGCGTGTTTTGCTTCGATACAATCTGAGAACCCCAAAAATATACTAATATGGTGTCCCTTCTTCCTTCCGAAATATGCTGATGATGGCACAGGCCTAAACCATATAGTGGACAATATATTCTAAATTAAAACTTAATATAAGGTAATTGCGGGTGACTTTTACTGCCTAGATATAAACTGGCCCAAATTACCAACCTCCCATCAGGCACGATGAACTGTTGTCTTTAATTATCCTTCACAAGTGGACACGAATTGTTGATAGACATATCCGAGGAGACAACATACTAGACACTATTCACATCAATGACATCTGGTTCCCATGTACGCATTACGACAAGTCACCTTTGAAAATGATCATTAATCGATAATACCACTGCGCCCTTTAAACGGAAAACTAGCAAATGATTTTAATATCGCTCACAAAAGTCAAAAACCTCGACAAAGACTCAGTGGAAAGCCACATCAGTTTATTAGACTGGAGCTCATGCCTTCTAACAACATCACATGGAAGTAATTATCCTCTTATACTATGCCCTGTTTACCATTCGAGATAACTTAAGAGACGAAAGATCCACGTATCGGCGGCCACACATTCCAATCTCCTTCTCCAAGATACTTAAAAAGGGAGGAAAAGAAACCACACGATCCCTCTGCAGGTTATTTATTCCGACTTCGAAAAATGAGAGATATTAATAACCTAGTTACGAAAAAGGAAACAAAGAGGTCATAGCAGTAGAAAATAGGGTATTAGAATCCCCCGAAAGAACAACTCAAATCCCAGAAGCAAATGAGTAATCACTAAAGATCAGGGCCTGAAACTATTATTGATGACTCGAAACAAGTAATATCAAACGACATTCCAACAGAAAATTTATTTGACAAATATTTCTTAACCAACTATGCAGTCGAAAATGAACCGATCTTCAACCAGCTGGCATGACACCACACACGTTTAGTGAGATCTGTTTTAGTTAAGAGAATGAAACAAGCTGTCAGAGAGATTTTTAATTCCACCTCCTATGGAACGGACAAATTCCCACCATGCAAACTTAGGCAATATGACAAATTCTTCAATACGTATCTCTAGGTTATTCGCTTTACTCTTGTTTCAGTTTATTTCAGTTTATTTGGTAAGGATAATAGGCAAAGCCTTTGAAATCCCTATTGATTACATGTCAGCTCGTAAGAAATAACTGTACACAAACAAAAAATGTTCACTATTGAAACAGTACTTGGTTCATTTGAGAAGCATTGTCTCAGAGAAAATATTTGTCTGGACCAGGGGTATTAATTCAGATTCAGACTGTCGAGGGAAAACAGGGGACACAAATAATCATCCAAGCGTTCCTTGAAGAGTTGTACAGACGTAGTTCCATTTCTCCACTACCCTTTGCGTGAAAAATTCAGGACGAAGATTCAGCCCGTAACTTCATCGAGTGACCACGAAGATTGGGCGAAAGGTGCCACTGAAGCATGTCCTCAAATTTAATTCCATACTCAAGGCCATGTAGTATCTTGTAGGCGAGGATAAGATCACCTCTTTGCTGCCTGTAACACAGAGGGAATAAATTAAGGCTATTCAGTCTGTCTGTGTATGATTGGCTTTTTAGACCGTTTACCAGTGTAAGTGCAATCATTTCAGACATTTGGAAATAATCGAGCATTGCACCAGTCTTCAAAAATTCGGGCCAGTCTGATACCCAAAGCTATCGTGGTGTTTACCAAACAACGGCAATAGCCAAAATCTTCTAAAAACAATTTGCAATCTACTGCTTAACCATCTGCCAAACGTTAACTTCATATGACCTTTTTACATAAAAAAGTTGTGTCAATCCCGCTATCGCACATTCCTGGAATTCGTTTATAACGATAGAGATGACAGGAACACAGAAGCTATAATGTGCCTTGATCGTAAAAAGGTCTTCGACAAGGTTCCCCAAAAAAGACTTATTATAAAACATATACCGTTCTCGATTTTTTTAAATCCTACGTTAAAAACCGATAGCAAGTAGTACAAGTTCGGAAGGCAGTCCCAGAACCATCATATATCACCAACGGAGTACTCCAGGGCACTGTCATATGCCTAATTTTATTTCTCATATGTACGCGGATAAAGCGGAATGTCCACAGCCGGCTGCAGTTCACTTGTCTATAGGATAAGGGAAACAAATGTAGTTTGATCAGTTTTTCTGGATATGACAGAGTCGTAAGAGCGTCCACCAGTTTTGTCGTTGATCGTTGCATCTGCTCGACGGGATCACCGTCTTTCTTCATCTAGGACATCCATACTGGCATTCCATATTTCAATTGCGGTCTGACGCACATAGCAGAGACCAGAGAGAAGTGTTCTGAAGGAAAAACCGTGAAGACACTATTAATCTAGTGCATGATGCTTTTTTGCCTTTTGGACCCCTGTTTTACAGTGTTTGGAGGGTAGTAAATTCGATGCTGTCTAGACATTCAGGTCTTTTTGTGTATCCACTTCTTTTAATGGAATCCCGTTTATAGTTTACCGGCATTTGAAAAAGGTTTCCGACCATCTTTTAATAGTAACAGTAAACATTTGGAAACGCTAAACTCTAGGTGCAACCATTAGACCATGCAACAGGCTTATATAGATTTCCTTGCAGTTTCTGAACGTCGTCAGCACAGTTGACTGTTTCCGAGATATCTGAATCACTCCAAAACATGATGACATCCCAATAAAGATCTTCAGTACAGTTTTTATGGAGGTCAGGAAGAGGAGAAGACGTATGCCCGAATCCTGCGGAACACCGCTTCTACTGGTACCCATTGGGATCTTGCAGCGCCAACAATCAGTTTTAGCAGCCTGGATGACTGGAAACTTTTAACTGACATAAAAATGTTGCAACTGGCACAGGTGCTCAGCTCTAGACCACCTTCGTTCAAACCCTGTTCACCTTTCTTGATTGCACAAGCATTAGGATGAGAGCTTACATTGCCATCAGCCAACGGCATAATCAAGCGTTTCCACTGCTAGTTAAAGACAGTCCTATGTGTCACAATCGGCCAACAGAACTGGTTGACTAAATTTCTGACGCGCTTTTTGACAGTCACGCGACAATAAAGTCAGATCTGGACTGCTACGAAACCGAACTGGTGTTCAGAACTACTCCCGCACTGCCATAAAAGATGACCACCGCAAACTCTCGTTGGGATCTTCAAAAATTCAGAAATCATTGTACGCCATCCGCAACTATTTATGGTTACGCTATCTCCCGTTCTACCACAGACTCCATAGACCGAATCATATGCCCAAAATAATAATGATAAATTGTTTTATTTAGAACCTCTAAGGGTACTGTCGTAGGAAGTAGAGACACAGTCTCGAGTGAATTTTAGGGACAAGTTGGCGGATACTGTACATCGTTTGGTTCGTTTTTTGTAAAGTAGGCAGTCTGATCTGGAGAAACGCTTACCGAACAATGAAAAAGTGACTTCATTTTTTTCGAAATGTCCAAAACGAATGTGTTCTGATTAGCTTTTAAGAAGAAGAAACTGTCCTTGTAGGGAAGGTAAATATGGGTAGATATGGAACAGTACCGTCCCGTAATTAAGATTTTATAAGGGCTCAAAACGGTCCTAGTCAAGGTCAAATTTCTACACCGGGTGAGGTTTTTCATTACAGGTGCTATCTTAATATTTTTGAGTTGACAGCCGTTAAGGTGACCAGACAGGAGGCACTCAGCGCGATCGCTCACAGTCCCCATAGAATCTAAGGAAGGAGGCGGTATTAAAGGCAGTGGGAGTCATCAAAGCGGGGGGATCCGACTGTGCTGCTTATTTGCTGACGAGCAAACTACTGGAGGCGACAAAAACAGGGGAACGCAACGTGTGTCGTCAGCAGATCGCTGGGTACCGAAATGTGGTGATGGAGTTAAATCTGCGAAAATCATTGTTCACGAAAGGATATGGAGGGACAGAGTGAATTCTTCCTGAGCGTAGGATTAGAGCCTGACGATGTTAGATATTGTCAAACCCGGGATGAGAGTGCCATTAGGGTGGGAACTCGAAACCCCATTCACTTCAACGTGGCCCTTATTATTTTTCCGAGAATTTGGCTAGGGAACGCATCGCGTTTTGTGAGGTGTGCGATGTATGGACTGAAAAATCAAAAAATCGAAAAACAGCGTGGTTGACCGCACTCGCGTGTTTGTTCAGTGTAACCGGGTGTGTAGGCTGCTGAAATCACCATGTATGGCATCCTTTCGGATACCTTCATTTAATTCAAAGACCACCCGGATCCATCCCGGTGCCATTGACGTTATCTGCTTCGACCGGTTCAAGGCTGCCGTTCAAGAGAAACAGGTGGACCTACCCAAGGGACAAAAATATGCTGACAACCTATTTCCTTTTACTCCACATCCCCAACCGTTCCCGACCGTTTGTTAGGTGGCATTCAATACAACTATTGTTAAGCCAGTTCCATTTGACTTCACATTATCTTTCCAGCTATCTTAACAATAACAATACCTGCCTGTTCTGTATTTACTAATGTTTTATGTGATCCTCAAATAAGCATTGACTATTGACTCTTTATGGTGCATGTCATGATTGGTGAATGTTTCAGCCACTTAGCCCAGTCTGCATTACGTGGACATCTCCATGCTTTATTAATTTTAATCATTTTCGAAACCCTTTCTTCTGGACTTCGGTTCCTAATTTTGCTTCTTAACTTTTAGTTCTCTTGCCGCATCGTTTTAGGTATTACTGCCCGTTCGTCTCCAGGATGCCCAGCCACTGACCGCTGTTCTAAATTTGCGCTGCACATGCCGATTTTCAACCACAGCTCCATGATTTCGCAGATCCTAGCGGACAAGCCCTATCTGCCTAAAACCTGTAGTGAAGTGAATGAATAGAACTGCAAGCTACTTTAAACATTAATACTTGATTCTAAATGGTATATACTGCGTTTACTCTACAAAAGATGAGGGATATATAGGATTTTATAGGAGCCAACGAACGAGAAGTCGTCTCCAACGTCATTTTACTTTAGAAGGCAAGAGTACTCGGGGTAATTGTAGAAGGTTCCGTACCGTTTGCACTCAGTAGTCATCGTTGCACGAAGGAGCTTTCACCCGGAAAAGTCTACTGAGGGAACAAAGCCAGTTTGTTTTAGTCTTTGTCCAAATAACTTCAGGTATTGCGCTATGACACGTAAATTATAAACACAAGGTGGTAGCAAAATCGAAAAACGTGATGTCGTGGAAGGAACCCTGCTGTTTTGTGCGTTCTGGTGTAATCAAACAGAAATGTATACTAGTTCAGTTGTGCAATGAAAATTTAAAACATAAATAAAATATTGATCCAATCATACATGCCTAGTTATCTATTTAATTACCCAGTTCTGGGAATAAGAAGCGAAAACCTTTACCAACTTGGACGACTTACATCGGTCAGGTTTGTTAACTGTACCAACACTGGGAGAAAAGAGTCCTTTTATTCAGAGATTCATGGATTCTTGAACATCGGTAAATCGTAGTTGCAGTGGAATTTGTGGGCCGTACATTTCCCGCTCTTTTAATGCTTAAATTTGTAAAACTGCTCACAGCCAGTGGAGGGCTTTTTGGGATCTGAGGATTAGGGCTTCTTGTCGCAATTTCGACTACGAGTCCGGTGTGAGTCTTAAGCAGTACATGATTTAACGAGATTCGTTTTGTACACCCAAACACGCTTCACCTGCTCATTTAAGCATTGATCTTTTGACTGCTTACGAACAGTGGTCAGAGCATACTTGTTTTGTCTTCCTTACCAAGGAGCATCTTCAGATGTTTCACTTTGGTTTAGGACTTTATCTAAACCCACCTCAGTGCTCTTATGATATTGCCCACACCACTAATGTACTTGTCATTAAGAACCTGCGTACACAGTTTCCAAGCGCTTAGGCCCATTCCTCTTAACAGCAATTTGATTCGGTCGAGGTTTGGCCTGACTACTGTGGGTGTGAAGGTAAAACAGCTTAACGTTTGAAGAAAATCTGGAGGAATTTCTGGGAGAGATGGAGGAATTTCTTCCGCGTGAGCTTTATCGGTGGTGTGAACTACCTCTAATTCTTACTTTATGCATTGACGTTAGCCTATTGGTACGGCACCGCTGATAAGTGTGCTCTTTTGCACTGACTCTTGTGACGATATTTGATTTTTTCAGTTAGTCTTCTTGAAAATTCCGCGTTTTTAGACCTCTTAGATCGTCAGTCTTCGAAGTAGTTCACGAACCAAACTGTTCGGTTGCAAGGCTTACGCAGAGCAGGCACTGTCCTTCACGTCTAGTGACTTCATTTTGTGCACTTGGCTTTGTTCAGTTGCACTAGCCTTGAATGACAAGGAAATCCAAGCTCAGTCAGCTGTTCCTATGCCACGCTAACGTATTTCTTCTAACTAAGGTCGAAATGGCTTCTGTGGCCTTATAGCCAAGCCCCTGGCTGCCCATCACGTCTAGACGGTGGACACTGGGAATTCTTTCCGAAAAACATTGCCTGCCACAAACGAGCCAAATGGGAATCTGGGTCGGTTTTGAGTGCGCTGCGGTAGCACAACGAACATGTGGTTGACACTATGTAGCCAGTTGGCGTGTCGCACACAAGTCAGCGTAACTGACCTTAATAAAGATCAGTGGTGACCAAAGTTTTCCCGCCACCTTGCTGTTTGGGCTAGCCAAAGGGCTTCCAAACACAGTCCGGAAGAGTTTGTCCCTGACTCCTAATCCAACTTTCGCGACAGTGCAGCTCATGTTATATGAACGCACGACACGACATTTAGGTAAGTGATGCCAGTCGCGTGGGTTCAGAGCTGGCCACTAACTTTCGTTGTCAAAAATTCCAAGTCTCTTATTAAAGTGTACGCATCAAAAATTAACACATACTGCGTACACAAGCTTAGACGCTAATGCTGCCTGTCAGCCTGCCGAGTTTGTCCCACGGTTAGCACTGTACCATTTCTGTTATTACGTAGAACAAGCTTTTAAGTGGCATGGACATCGTGTGGTGCTGTACAATCACGACAGCATCAAAGGCGTTAGACTTCACCTCGGCATCACTTGCATCTATTTATCTGTTGCAGTTACGGAAGCATTTTAAGTTGCTGCACATTAATGAGAATCGGCTTTTGCGCTTACATCCGTGCGGCCTCAAAGACTGTCTTAGCCTGTCTGGCAGCATTCTTTCCGCCCCAGCAATCAAGTCTTGACTCTACTGTATTTTTTGCTGTCTGGCCGCCTATAAACAAGTACAGGTGTTCCACGTGTTGCCTATGCCTAACATAGTTCACAAGACATTTTATTGGTTATTGGAGCTTTGGTTACTACGACATCTCCTACGAGACAACTTCAAGTAGCATACCGGTGAACATACGGGCCTTATCGCACCATTGTTAGATCTGGAGCACTTGCGTCCCTTTTTCGGCACTTTACTCAATGCTCCTGTCACAAGCTTTGCTTAGAAGTGCTACTTTTCCGTTTAAATGCAATACCTTGAGATCATTTCCAGGGTTGGTAGTTTTTGCTTTTACGACCTGCCTATTACAGGCCTATGCCTTACGTAGCTCGCCGTCTTCTGTGCACTGTGAAGCCATATTGAATTTCGCAGCGGCTTGTTTGGGGAGTCCTCCAGACTTGTACAACCATTTCTGCAGTAAACGACTGTAAGATCAAGCGCGGTGGCACAGTCACCCACACCCATGCGTTTGTCTAATACATTTTCGGTGTCCTCATCATTGACAACAGCTGGAATACACTGCAATGTGACAGAGCGCAAAAAATGTCTGACGGGGTTCTGTTTATGAGGTCGAGTATCGACTTCGTGTTAGTTTTCGAAAGCAGTTTCGCGCTCTTTTTGCTGTCATAAATGCAGGCAAACAATAATCGCATGAACAACCACAAGTTAGCCGATAAATAACAGCCAAAGCTTTGCGTCTTCTACTGATCGTAGTAGAAAATTAACTCTTGAATAGAGTAAGTGAACAGGAAGGGGCCATCGCCTACTCGATCAACTAACGGATCCAACTTCCCCGAACTTATGTGATCTTGTAAACACATTTCTGGTGGGCAACCTCGCCAGGTGGTGGTGAGCTACGCCCATACCGTGGATGGTCAGTCCAGCAGCCACGTCCACCCCCTTCCCGACTAGTCGCAGACAGCGAACCGCGGGCGCAAACCGACGTACACAGCAACGATTCCCTTTGAATGTTGGCTGCGCAGCCGACCTGTCAGTCTGACAGTGCTGAACGGCCACATATTTCGCTGGACAATTCAGGCCCAAAGCAAAGCCAGCCCGACGATCACCGCCTTCTTTTCGGTTTAGACTTATTTGCACAGTTGTCTGACTAGCCAAACACCCCAACTCATAGGTATGCCCGGGGGTGGGACTTAACTAGGGTTGGCCTAGGATTTCAGCCCTGGAATGATTTTCCGCAACCCTGAACATTGCCACTTATATTACTTGAAACTCGCGTACTCATCGTTTTATATTTCAACTGATCTGACACCGACTGTGAACTTTCGACGAAGTTAAGTACAAACCACAGGTACTCGTTTGGGTTAATGCTTGATTTCGTTTCAATCGTGTTTCCTAGTGTAAAGTTCGTCGAGGTAGCAGACATTGCCAATGACTCAAGTTATTTGTCTTCTGCCATGAGCTGGTCCATGCCTCTGACAGCGAAACTCGAGACAATAGTTGTCGTTCTGGTGGAATTTATGTTTTGGTTCACTTCAACTATCTTCGCACCTACAGGCAGCACAGGACGCAATACTCTCAGGGTACTCATCAGTTCTCATGATCGGGATCCGTTGTACGTGATCCATGGTCGGGTACAACACCCGGGTGTTCTGCCGGTGTTCAGCCCACTTCACAATTTAGTCCTCTTAGCCAAATCTCGTGACCCAGGGCACAGCCGTGATAAATAAATAAATAAAATAAATAATTTTTATTAAAAACCCGTCGGGATCCCATCAAATCATGCCTAATTTAGCTGGCCTCGATAATGTCACGGATTAAACCTCTCCACGCATGACGATCTGCGACAGCGAATCCGGACAGCTCGACTCATTCTTTTTTCCAACTGCGGGGACTGAAAACCGAAGGTCCGTGAGCAATCATGTCTTTACGAACTGTGCTGAGTTAGGTTTTGAGTCGACCTCTTCTTCGACGCCTCCAGGTTGACAACGGCGCTAGATCGGAGGTAGCAACACTGACCTCCTGTCGCTGATAACAAAATTGTCCGACTACCGGGATCTGAAAAAACCGGATGTGATATCACATAAGTCACCCTCCGAAATAACTACTTTTGTATGCCCCTTCAGCGGCAATAACTGTGACGTCGTACGGTCTTGCCGTAAGATCGACGCAATGGATTCCCGATAAATGGTCTAATGCAACAGCAGACTCCACAAAACACGATTGTTAGCTGCTGCCACCACTGGTATTGCTTGTATTCGCGTGGCCAGCAAAACAAACATTGTTTATGCGCACTGCCCTTTCGAGGCCGAATGTCCCAAGTAATCCAAAACTATTAAGAAGGAGGATGTGAAAGTGAATTACAGCTCTGAGGAGGCTGATACCGATGTGCTATACAGACGACGATCTGCCGCCTTTCTTGAAAATAGCATGCTCATTGCGTCAATCCGGTCTAACTGCGGATCCAATTTCCGAAATTTGGGAACGACTGACCGGTTTTTATCCATTTGGCCGACGAGTATCCTGAAGCGGTAATTGTAAAAGCCGACTGGGAGGCAGTCCTAGCCTAGGATTCTGTCATTCCTTATTTTTCGTCAAAGCCTTAGGTGTTAGGCGGAGGCCACAGCCACAGTTAAGCTCTGGCGTCGCTAGTGTCCTAAATGGGTTTAAGAATATCGAGTTTTTACGATTCGCAAGTCAGCAAAATTCTCCTTACATGCTGACAATACCGTAGAATTTCGGCTACCTCTTGAGTTCGAGAAGGACAAGTAAATAAATAAATCTATTTTCCAAGTCCGTTTCAACTGAATGATGTCATCGTTAGACTAGGCACGTTTGGGCGATTAGTCAGTCTTACCACAGAATTTGTTGTGAAAGTTTCGTGTGGAGTGAGTAACCTCGACGGAAGGACCGTAAGTCCGAGCTACCGGTAGGACAAGTTGCCGCGGCACTGCCATCGGTCAGCTAGTCTCACCACAAATCCAGTCGTAGCGGCAACTCTTGCCATGGCCTAACGCTTCTTGCAACGCTTCGGGGAATGTGTTTCCGATCGAAGCTGTCCTTTCTTGCTAGAAGCGTCTCGAAGGCGACCGTCGTCCGTGTCAGAGTGGATTGGTGGTTTACCATGGCCAAACGTAAGCCGATGGTATCCGCAGGATCCGTCAGAAACAAATCACTGCCTTTCTTCGCTTTCCCCGCCTACTCGATGTCATTTAGTTTGTATTGCACCCTGGCTCTACCAAAGGTGTGGTTGAAGCCCTTCCCCATCGAACATTAGAGTCAACACGTACTCAGACAGTCCGCGCGGGCAAGTATGTAGTCAGTGTTGATTTGTCTTTATCCACGAGCTGAATAGAGGGCGATTGGATGGCTCATCGTCATCACTACCAAACAATAATTTTTCGCTGGGAAATGACTGAGGTCGTTTTTTAGTTGCGCTACACCTACCTGGACCGTCACTAAAACCCTTTCAGCAGCAAGGTCGTGTGGGCCTGACTGCTGTCTGGCAGTTACTTTTTGAGAACTACTCTAACATCACCGATTTTCCGCTCAGGGTATCTGTTACTATCCCTGGTGACCATAAGTTTCCGTGACCAAAACACGCCAAATTTGCCAGTTAACAGCGTTTCCAGACGTGGCATCGTTCAGAGATCGGCCAAAAAGTGGCCTGCTGAACAAAGTATTTGTTAGGACCAGACCTGGTACTCAGAAATAACAGATATTATGCGTGTTCGACTGTTGTCCCGTCTACTAACACGGCAGAGAAGTAGGAGACAATCGACCGCGACAAAATGTACTGAAACCTGCAAGTCGTTCCCACTAAAAAGTCCCTTTCAAAACGAAGGAACTAAAAAAAGCCGAAGAACTTCTCGTAGATATGGAGCGATTAGGCTCCAATGGTACGCTGCGACCTCAGCCAATGAAAAGAAGCTGTCGAGGGCGTGCTGCTGCATGCAGACGACACAACCCTGACGTGCGCACGTGCTTTCCAGAGAGATCAACTGATTCATTTTGGGAGTATAGACATTCCCAACGGTATTTCACCCGGACCTTAATCATCTTGGCCGATCGAATGACATCACCGACAAAGATAAGGGGGACTGGGATAACCATTTCTGGTTATTAGCCGTCATCACCCAGTCATACCCAACTCCGAAGTGTGCGACACCTGGGGTTCGATCCCGTAACCTGTTAATTAGGGGTCCAATTCCTCTAACGTTGTCCTGTCGGTTGTGATCGGGAACATCCAATGCTGGGGAGCGCGCACCAATCGTCTTTACGGAACTCACTCGTCCCGCCGTGGTTTAGGGCTCTCTCTCGAGCCAAACCAGCAGCCTCAGCGGCACATGATATACGCAGAATAGCATCACCAACATGCGTCGCATCGCGGCTGCTGGTCGGGTTCGAGAGAGCCCCAAGGCACAACGGAACGAGTTAGTTCCTTAAAAACGATCGGTGAGCGCCCCTCTACCGTCTTGGTCGACTCAGTGGGGACTATATTTAACTCCCCTCCTTTCCAAATTGCTCCTCTAACCCGTATCTGCTTAACTTTCTGTACCATCAACAGTTCAGCGAGTAATGGCATGCATTTAAGGGATTTTGTGTCCGGCTCGCCGTCCTGCAGCGAAGAAAAATCGGCCTTGACTCTCTCTCTATCTCTCTCTCTCGTTTTAAGCGTTTGAGACCATCATGGATACCAAGTTGCTCAGTAGTAGAAAGCAATGTTGGTGAATGCACGTTCCCATAAGTTGACTTTGATCTGTATTCCGACGACCTGACTATGTAGTCGTAATGACACGATGAAGAATTGACAAAAACGTATCCTCACCAAGATTTTTGTCTAACTAGTTTGTTTTCCGTATGAAAGGCCAGCTAATTTTGGCACCCTTCAATGCCAACTCAAAGATTCAGTAAACAGTCTTTGTCGCACCGGATAGCCATCTCCGTCCCGGCCCGTCATTATAAGTTTTTTCGCCTCATATTTGGCTCAAATAACTTGACTTTGTAAGACATGTTTCGGCTTTTTAAGATGTGACCCTTCCATTTTTGCCCATGCAGGTTAGTCAGGTGATTTAATGGCCATTCGTGCCTTTGTTCATGCGGTATACACTAACAAACTTCAGGATTGCTATGTGATTCCATCATCTTAAACGCATGTGTGGTGGACGAACAACAGTATCACTGCGACCTCAGCAGCTCCAGGTCTACCCTGTCCACATTGCCACCGCACCTGCAGATTACGCATCGGCTTAGTCAGTCATTTGCGAATCGCACAGGGGCTGGCTGATCAGTGCCTGAACCACCAGTATACGCCCTTCGTCACCACTTCGACTGACCACAATGCCCACTCACAGTCAGCCATCTCATGGGCCTACTCGGCCACATGTGCCTTCATGAAAATATATAGTAAATCACCGCAAAGTAGACCATATCACCGCACACTTCCCCATCAGCACATGCACCACACCTAAACACGCCAAACAACACACCGCAGTCATAAGCTAGACGCCTCATGTAAGTGAGAAGTGTCTTCTTCGGCTTCTTCACGTGGATCTTCTGTTGTATGTAAGATCCGGCCAATCTACCCCCTTCGTGTGGAGTCCTGGGTGTTGTGTGGGGGGCCAGGTCGCGGGTGTATGCACGCGCAGACGGGCTGTTCTTAGCTCTGTTAGCCACTTCTTCCAATCTCAGCATCAGTTGGTTAGCCGGATCGGACAATCGACTGGTGTACCGGAAAGGTAGGAGAGAGTGAGGTCGATTCACAGCACATATTCCTCCCTATAAGCGGTCGGACGCGTTTGTGATTTACTCAGTCACTGCACCTGATCCCGTCTTCGGTTTTCTTGACTCTGTCTTGACGCCGGGCCCAGCTGGATGGGGGAAAGAATTTGGCAAATGCACCGCAGGTCCACTATCACAATAAACTAATTCACGTGCAAGTCACCGTCCCTGCGCCCACCTTGCTGTTTGGCACGATGAGCATCGTCGGAATCGCCGACCGAGCTACTGTCCTGTATGGTGAGCGGAAGTTAGTTGGCCGGTGCCTCCTGATCTCGTGCACCAGTTTTCGCGTAGTGTCAGTGGTGTGGATTAAACGCAGCTATTGAAAATCCTGTCATTCGTCCTGAAGCGAATACTATGCCCGCTGTGACAGTGTCTCAATTTGGCGCAGATTAGCTGGACTGCGGAATGGGAGTGAGTTAGATGTCTTCGGGTCGCCACTGTCGGTCCAAACAACGGCGGTCCTCATTGAGTATGTCGAACAAACTACCACATACTTTCTTTTGCACTTGGTCGTTTATTGTTAGGTAAGAAGCTGAGCCATCGTAGTCCCATCCAATAATTGTGCGCTAAGTTGAAGAGAAAATTACGCAAGGGACAGCCACAAAAATTTCGATGTTCATTATTGTTTACGTGAGTGCTTCGCCGCTGGTTGGTACTTATGTTATGCTAGACCCAAGTCGGGGTAAAAGAGTCTGTGGCATAATCTAGACAATTCGCCTCGTAAGCCTTTGCAGATGTAATCAATGCTCCCTCATCGAGACCCTTCAGTTTCCAACTGGCTGCCAGAGAGCAACCGAAGTAAAATTGATACAGTCCCAAATAGAGGCGTCAAAAATCCGCTGGTGACCCCGCTTAAAGGGTTTTCAGAACAGAAAAAATGAATTATTTAAGCCAGCCTCCCATGTTAAATATTGTCCTTTTCACCGACCCTGGCTTTCTCAATGCCTCTGTCTTGCTTTTTACGCTAACTCTTCTCAAACAATTTCCGATTTTATGAAATGATTGCGGATACTGACAACGCTACAAGTAGTTTTTTTCTTCCAGTTTCCGTGCCTCCAACTCATTTGAAGTCGCGTTACACCAATGGTGTTAGCACAACGTCAGAAAGACGAACTGTAAGTTTATCATCTCCCAGAAACCTAACGCCTACCTAGAAATCGCGCAATCGCCGACTATTTGAGTTCTAATGGGTACGAACAAGCCCTCGTTGAATTCAAAAAAGAGGCCGGCTTGGTAAGTGCCTTTGCTCACATGCACGTGTACGCTATCTATTTAGGATACTCCAATTGACACTAAATTTTCCGGGCTGTTAGAGAAGAAGTGGACATCGGTTATTCGACTACAGAAAAAGGTGTGTTGCGCCTCTATTTCTTGTGCCATTCATTCATTTATAAACATTATCCGAAATCCTGAAGTGGGATTTCGGCTAAAAAAGGATTATAAGTGATTCGGGGACAATTAAAAAAGGATTACTTGGATAGGATTGTGGTGCGGACTGCCACATAGCATAGCCTTAAGATATTTCAGCCGTGCCGGGATACCTGCTTTTAGATGCACGTCATCCCGACTGCTTTCCAAGATCGCACTCGCCAAAGATTACTACTTAAGTAATATGGTTTCACGCATTGATTTTCTATGTCCTTAAAAGTTCAAACATATTTGGTAGTGTGCACAAAACATCCCTTTTTGTACCCATTTTGTAGTAAACCGCGCTTTCCTTAAATTTCCTACTGGAGGAAAGGGTGTCTTGCTGTTTCGAAACTTTTCAGTTCCTAGATGATTTTGAACCCAACCTGACATTTTGCTCGCGTCTGGGGTGTCCGAACTACCATCTGTACACTTGTTATTGAGGAAAGTCATACATGTACCTTCATACATGTCCAGCTCATAAAATTATACGCTGTATGTGGACCTCATGGTATACTTCATAAGGGACTCTAATATGCAGACAGAAATGGTCCTATTTAAACAGACATTTCACTGTCTTAAAAGTTTATAATTACCAACTTTTCCTAAACCGAGATATACCATTTCTTCGAGTAGAAAACTTATGGAGGACGCCTTTTACTACCATATACGTGCAGGAAAATATATTCTTGTGCATGCTTTCTGTAAAATATGTTTGGATTTGTAAGGACACTGAGAACCAACGGAAAGAATTCATACTACCTCAAGCAGCCACTTTTGACGAGTGTGATTTTTGCAAGCGGTCGGAAAGCCGTGCACTCAAAAGCCAGTATCTTGGCGTTCGTGGAATATCTTGGGATTTGCTGCATGCTGTTCAGTTTTTTAACCCCAATCTAAGTAATGCTTCCATTCTGGACTTTCACTTTTATGTTTCATGAGATATGTCAGCTGCCGTATCTGTTACCTTTCATTTATGGTTCCATTGTCTGTTTCCTCTTGTGTTTTGCTCGAATGGGACTCGTGCATCTTTTACCGAGGCCCTTGATCTACTGTCAATTGTTCGCGAGCATGTAGTCACAGCCAGAGAGTATTGCTTACGCTCGAAAATGTTGCATCACTATAGTCAGCCCGTTGGAAATTACTCGAAGCACAACAGGTCTCACACACAGCGCTGCTACGGACCGGGTAGATATATCATCACAGCTATTTTAGCGCACTCTTTGATGTCATTGTCGGACTCGAACATGTTCTGCGACGTCATTTCGTAATATATTAAATCTGACTGTCCCCCTGAGTCCGCCCCCGTGCTAAGAGTCCATAGTCACTTGCTGCTCTGCAATTAGACACATTTGGTTGATATGCCAGGCTTAACATTTGTCGAACAAACCTGACAGAAGTTGTCATAGCACGGCATATTTGAAGGGCCAAAAGTAGTCCTGCGTCCCGTGGTTGGTTGCTGCAATGTCGATGCCACTTCATTTGACCTCGACCTCATCCTGTAAACTTGAGTGAATCTTTAATTCTCCTTATATGTCGCTGGTCGGGGCGTTTCCGGGCAGCCGGCGCTCACATCTTGACAGAAAGTACGCTTCTCACCACTCAATGTCCCTCGATTGCTTCTCTTCTGAAGTTATTGTTGCACCTCAGGGGGACTCCCTGTTTCTCCTGCTTACTTCCTTGCTCGTGGGTGATTTCCTTTACAGCTGTTTCATTTTTCTGACTAAGGCAACCAACTGTTATTTTAAAAGTCCTCCTTTTGACTTGCCACAGTTTATATTCTGGTCTCCCATAAATTCTAAGGTCATGGACCTGGAGACCAAACTAGCTGAGGCAGAGCGCGAATTTCAGGCTGCCCAAGCAAGCCTCGGGTATGGACCCGTCGGGGCGGCTCCGGGCAGTGGACTCCCTGGCCGAGGAGAACGCCGCAGCGGAGCCGACGCGATACCCCGTCCACCGGCCAAGTACACTCTTACTGGGCACAGATCACCGGTTACGCGCGTCCGCTTTCATCCTCACTACAATATCCTTGTATCCGCCAGTGAAGACTCAACGATAAAGGTGAGCACCGGTGCTGTGCATGTTCGACTCATTGACAATTCTCCAGACCATCCTGACGACATTATTTTGAATAATTTACTGTCAACCAGTTTGGAGAATCCAGGAAGTAAGAGGCTGTCCATCGTTAACTAAACAGACTTCCTATCCTGATGTCCTTTCTAACTCGGCAGCGGTCCTGCATCACCTCTAGTCAATGTGTCTCTCACTTCTTGGTCGGTTTATCATCTTAAATGACGTTTTAGCCTGCGCAAATCCTCTCCTGTTTTTTTTCTAACTTTGCGCTTCCGTAGTTATGTCGTCCGTGTTTCCCCTCTGTTTTGTGCCTATTATATGGTGCTTATGCCTGCTGTCCCACTTATGACGGATGGTGTTCGTAGTGTTTAGACATTCCTTTCTGCGGACTGGTTTGCCGGTGGGAGAAAGGGGTCAATAATATGTCCCGTCGCCGGCTCCCAAACTTACATCTCCCACTCCCACGTCAATAGGGCGAATTGAACCAGACTTCTTCAAATCTGGACACCCAGTAATGCTCTGCTTCCCTTTACGGCGTGTCACGTACAATCCTACTTTGATTTGTAAATGTGTTGCAGTTGTCCATGTGGTTTTATCGGTTAAAGGTTATTGCTGTGCCCCCATACCTCACTTCCAGCCGCGCCTTCTGTCGGCTAGGCAGCTCCTGTCAGGAAATAAAGGCAGTAGTCCTGCCTGCATTTCTTACGCACTCGCGGCACCTGCTCTTTTTTTCGACATAATGTTGCAAGCAGATACCCTCCGGTCATGCCTTAACGTCTATCACAACCATCAGCATTATGTCAAGTAAATGAGCATTCTATTGTTTTCTTTTATGGACATTGTAGTATGTGCTGTCGCTGGATAGTTCAAACAGCTATTTCGCAGGCTTCTTATGTGTGTTTTTTGCGCCTTTCATCATATAGCTCTGGGACTACGAGACCGGCGAATTCGAACACACCCTCAAGGGCCACACTGATGTAGTCCAGGACCTCTCTTTTGATCCTCCAGGCACCCTTCTGGCATCCTGTTCCGCTGATATGCAAGTCAAGTTGTGGGACTTCACGACTTATCAGTGTATTAAAACACTGTCGGGACACGATCACAATGTCTCCAGCGTTTGTTTTCTGCCCTCCGGCGACTTCCTTGTCAGTGCCAGTAGAGACAAGACAATCAAACTTTGGGAGGTTGCCACAGGGTTCGTCTTGTCTTCTTTTTTCTTCCAATTTGGCATGTCCGCCCGGACAGAGCTTTCATTTGACCGCCGTCTGTCCCACAGTCCTGGTTTGGGTTTTGCAGCAAAAAAAACAGTGCAGTCGCACTCAGCGCCAGGCATTCATACGCGAAATGGGGCCTTGCCGGCCACTATCAGGGCGCATGCCTCAGCAATCCACATCCAGCGCCTAATTGACCCTGTCCTGCAGCTCTAACCCCTCAGATCTGATGGCCTATCAGCGTGTTAGCTTGTATCCCCTGGCGGCTAGAGAAGGGGTCATCCTGTTGGCCCAGTTGCCGCCCGCCTCGAGCATCCGCAGGTATTAGAGATAGTGAAACGGCCCACATCGAGGTCTTAACATGAAACAGGCAGAATCGAGTCTGGGGAGTATGCAGTCGCGGACCATACCTTCAAATGTGGCTGTGCATTGATCTCGCGAAGCGGTCAGTAATAGAAAGGTCACAAGCCATAACGGCGCCAAAGCGAAGCACTTTCTGGCTTTAATATCTTGGCTCAGACCTCAGTTTGAGACGCGTCGATGGTTAAAATACTTTACTCTCAAAAGGACTTAGTATACATGGGAGTTTTTAGAAAGCTAAGATTTGTCTGTCTCAGTCAAATAAATTGACTTGATTTGGCTTTGGTGGTCAGAGATCGGGCCGCCACTGTCTGTGTTACGTGATTTCTCTCATTATCCCCCCTCTCACCTTGGCAACACAGGCCAGTCAGCCTTCCCAAGGGGCCTAACGGAATTACAGACTTTTATATTATCACCCCTGGGTGGGCCTCCATTTTGGTCGCCAACTTCTCATTTCTCACCTGTGCTGCAGCTCGAAGTTAGGCCTCCTCTCAAAACAGTCGATCAATTAATGTTAGGGGTATCGGTCATATTGTTCGATACTTTTCCCTGGCCAAACTGTTCCGTGAGGGACTGTGTTAAGTTCTTATGTACCTTAAAAATGTCGAAGAGTTTGCAGAACCTATCCGAAAATCCACCGTGTGCTGAGCGGAGCATCTAAATTGTCCAGAGCCCACAAACCAAGGGAAGTTAGTTGACGAAATACTGCTCTAGTAGAATCGCGGAAGAAACATTTGAGTGACGTCTTTCGATCGAGCTTAATAGAAAACTGTTTCGAGGCAAAAGCGCGCCGTATGTTAAATAAGACATGCGCGGAATTATTTAATGTCTGAATTTGTTGATATAAAATCATGCGAATAGATGAGTCCCCAATGAATCAATGGGTAGAGTAACCGTCGCAACATCTCAAGCGAAGGTGTGGTGATCGAACGAAAAGACACATGCGGAGCATGAGTGTCCTGGAGCAGAGTGGGCGGGTAAAACGGCAGCGATGGGTGTATTTCAGGACTACGGGTACTGCTTCCGCACTCTCGGCACGATGGATTCGCAAGTGACCAGTCAGGCCGATGCGTGATAAGAAAATGCAGTCGCTTTGTGCACATTTGTGAGATGTACGCAGACTTGTTAGCCAGATGCACCGCCCCATCAGCTACGTCTGTGTACTTAAGTCATGCTCTCTAGTACTTTTGGAGCTTATGGGTTTCGGTTCTTCGAGCTTCAGGGTTTTGGCGCTAACTATGCATAATAAGTGGGTACAGATTTACCTTAGTCAAGGTCGCTCGCATGTGCAACATTTTCATTATTTTGGACAACAGAACAGATTATTAACTAAAAGTGGAGGGTTTACGTCTTCCTTGGTAGCTGTATTTTGTATTGTAATGAGCTGACCACGAGATACTTTTAGTCATAAGTATCCTAGGACGTCTTTGTTAATGCCTTCAAACTACGCCCCTGTCTCCTATCTGCATAGTTCCTACTCCCCTCACCCCGACTGCACTGTAGAATTACAGACCCTGGCTTCGGCAGTATTTTGCTAAATGTCGTCCCATTTATGGTAGCGGCGGCGGCGCAATGGCGCTCTAAAACCGTGCGTTCTTACGTCAGACCTAAAGGGGGACCAAGCGCATGTGTGTGCGACTTGCAAGGGTAAAACAGCCGGTCAACATCGGCGTCCCACATCTAATATCCAGTCGATTCAGTCTTGCCTTTAGTACACGGTGGAGGAGGGTGACGTCCATCCTCCTCAACCTGTCCACGCTACCAAATCAACTTGATTTTTACGCTAAGCTAAAAGTCCTAGCTTCGGTTGTCAAACGACGAAGCACCTCCTTAACGCGGTGAGAGAGAGATTAAAGGCCACTTCATGTGGATTGAAGAATCAGCATGTGAGTGACGGGAGGGATGGCCTGCTCGGTCATTCCGCCCAGACCTCTGTCCAGCCGTTTGGACCTTGTCGTGACATATAGCCTTGAGAGGTCTGTGGATAGGAAGTAGGCTCGATGTTGTTCAAGCCACTACCGCTTGCCCTGAGTTATAGTCGTCCTGGCCGAATTTCATGGACTATTTATCGGCGACGGGGAAGTTGTCGAGCATTGTTAAGGATGTTGATGCCATCTTCCTCTAGCTCACTGTCCGCGTTGATTCAATGGTCTGATCGTTCTCCTTTTGCCAGTCAGTTGACTTACCTCTTGGTTGCTCTCCGCCTTTCGTCTCTTCATACTCCACCCCAGGTTGTCTTTTGCCAAAAAGGTTAAAAGTAGAATGGTAAAGTAGCCATGATAGTTTTCATTTCAGCCTACCTCCAATTATAGGTGAGCGCTTTCGTCATGCGGATTAAACTAATTCATGGTCCACGGAGCTGCGCCACTAGTCTTCTGGCATGTGTTCCTTTTAGTCTGCACTTCTGTTATCGAACAAGTGACAAAATATCTCTAATTTCTGTACTCAAAATGGGGAACATCTTTTCAAGGACCTTAATACTCCACTTTTCGCCAACTTATGTTGGTTTTTCATTTTCCTGGGGTCGTTTTTGTATTCAGAGGTTTGACATTTGCTGTTTTTATCATTCCACGTCGTTGGTTTTTTCTGTTTTCCCGTTTAGGTGTGGTTGTAATATTCCCGATGAATGATTGTGTGTAAACGCTCCCCATTTCGCACGAATAGACGCGTTCAGTGTCCAACAGACAAATCGTCAGCCTACGTTTTGTTTCAGTGGACTATTTTAACATCCTTGGTGCAATTTTACGTAACCGAGTTCCCCTTTTCTCTAAGGCCTGCTTTCGAAGTTTCGACAAAATTGGTCGTATAGGAATCTTACGTTTGTCAGAACGTGGGCTGCCTGCTAGCGATCGGTCAGTAGTTTCTAGTCAGTGATCTGCTCTCTGTGAATCTTTGTGCAGGCCTCCGCTCAACTGCCAAGAATGCTTAAACTTATAGATAAATGTTGGCATCAACAGCCCCATACCTCGGGTGCTGGCGTACACGAGATCGGAAACTTGACCCTTTAAATCCTTGAATGAAACGCTCCCAGCACTTGAGCTGCTGGGTCTAAGCCCAGCAGTCTGCAGTCATAAAAATGTAGTGTCACCCGAGAGTGACGTTTGCTGGTCTATCCTGTGTGGGCTTGGGGTATGACCATCTGATTACGACAAATGAGTCTGAAGGTACCGCCTCCTTCTCCGCCGTATTTCGTTGTAAAACATCCCAATTACTGATTCCCCATCGCCATGTAAGCAATCAGTCTAGTCTGGGCACTCCATAAGCTGCTAGGAAGTATCTATAGAGATTTCAAGCTTCGGCCAGTTGGTACTAACTGCTTCGAAATCCTTACCATTACCTGCTTTGTCACCATAAACTGCTTCTATCGTCGTCATCCTGCCAGACTACAGCGGGTGACGATTTGTGGACATCTGATCTCCACTCGTCTGACTGAATGGAAAAATTCCGGCGTTTTAGCCTCAGTTTCTCAGCCGGCGTTGTTGTTGCCAAGCCTTTTACTTCCAATAGCTGGAAAAGTTATCATATGGAGCCATCTGAAAACACGCCAGAGCCTCTTGATAGAATGTCTGTTCTGTATCACTGCACATCTTTCCTTTTGTAGATACTGTGTCAAAACGTTTAGCGGGCACACAGAATGGGTGCGCTCTGTTCGGCCCAGCCTCGACGGAAGCCTTCTCGCCAGTTGCTCCAATGACCAGACCGTACGTGTGTGGGCTGTTGATACGCGGGAGTGTCGTGCCGTCCTACATGGTCATGAGCACGTTGTAGAATGCGTGGCCTGGGCCAACAGCCCGCAGGCGGTAGCGGCCATTCAGGCGGCCTCTAACGAGGAGAAGGAGACTGACTCGACGCCCTTTTCGCAGGCTCTCAATGGCGCCTCTGGTGACCAGCACCTTGCCAATACCACTCACGCCCCGGATTCCACAGTCGGTCTAATTCTCGCCTCTGGCGCCCGTGACCGAACCATCTGCATCTGGGACGTTAAGGCGGGAGTTTGTCTCCTCACACTGGTACTGTCTCCTCCCCCCCCCCTTATGGTCATTCACAATTGTTTTAATTTTAGAGAGCTTTCGTTTTTTCCTCATCCTCGCACCCCTCTGTCTCGGACCACTTTCGACAGTTTGCCTTGATGACAGAGGGATGCCCACGATCGTGTTGCGGAACTCACTCGTCCCGTTGTGCCTTGGGTCTCTCGAACCCAACCAGCAGCCACACAGCGGCGCGTACTATAGGCAGAATAACATTACCGACATAAACAAGGGAGACTGGAATGGCCATTTCTGGCTTATTAGACGTCGTCAGCCAGTCGTCCCCAACCCTGAGGTATGCGATACCTGCGGCTCGATCTCGCGACCTGTTGGTTAGAAGTCCAACGCATACGGGTTCGTTGTCCTGTCGCTTGCGATCGGGTATGTTGACAATGGTAGAGGTGCGCCCACAGATTGTGTTACGAAACCCACTCGTACCGTTGTATCTTAGGCCCCTCTCACACTAGCATTGAATTTCTGAAGGTCTTAATGGTCGTGTAAGCAAAATCTGCTGCTTGCCAAATATACAGCAGTTTCACTTTCGTCTGCGTAATAATCAGATATTGCATGTTGTAAGTGGGGCGCCTTTAGTACATGTTCTGATTTTGGGGTCTTTCGAACCCCCTACTGTATGGCGCAAAATCGCCTCATTGGAATCGGTTTGAGCTTGCATACCGTTTTCACCTGCAAAAGCTCCCGTTGAATGCAATGGTTGATGTTGTGCGCCCGACTTTACAGCCATAAAAGCAGCAAGACCTAATCAGAAAGGACGGAATTGAGTAGTTGAACGGCGGTAGTGGAAAGAGTTACTACATAGGCAACTGATCTTTTTCTTTTGGTGGGCTTTGGTGATGATCAAGCTTGCTTTGCCAGTTACTCCTCCTCCTATCCTGGTTCATTCAAATTTTCGGTTTACGTGCAAAGACTAGGCCGAGCGCACTCACTGAACCTGTATCTGACGCAAAAGCACAATGTCCATTCGATTTTACGCCGTTAAGTGTTCGTGGGCCACTGTCTTACGTCAGTGGCCTTAGTTTCTCACATTTCTGCTGGGTTTTGTACCGCGACAGACTTCAGACGTGCGACTCAAGCTTGGTGAGACTATGCCCCTGACGTTTTTAGTTCACCGACCTAGACGAATGCAAAGCTCTGGACAAGACCTAGGGACTTGCGTGTTCTGATTTGTCGGCCGATCCTAGTGGGATTTTTGACCTTCCCACAGTGATATTCCGGGCAGCTGTCAAGAATAGCTACAAAAGATTAAATCTAGATTTTAACATATGTTTACTGAAGACAAGTAACTTGTACCATTTACAAGAGCTTGATCTGAGGTCTGTACCTCCTCTGAATCATTATTTTAAGTCGCATCAATTTCGCTTTCTTTGCCATGCCTGTCGCATATTTTGTTTGAGACTGTTCTTGTGTTAGTGATTTTACACGAGTTGGCTGCTTTCTCAGTAACGCTGTCATACGAGATTGATGTTTGAGTATAGCCAATTAAGAGTGACGACGCCTCCGGCCCTGATTATTTTGGCATGTCCTGGACGTGAGTTTGGGCGTATCGGCCCGCTGACTTGGTTTCTTTTCGAGAAGATTGATTTGAGCTCATATAGCAGATCATCCCAGTCTTGGGTAAGATATTTCCGTTCGATTTATATACAGTAGGTAGGCTGACTCATGAAATGTCAACCGAAATTCCGAAATTTGTTTTCGTTTCGAAAAGGTTAATTAAGTAGGGTTGTAAAACTAATCATCATGCAGCATAATTCTATAATAATTCAGTTACCTCCGATTGCCGACTTTTGAACGAACTTCTCCCCGTTTGCATGCAAAAACTATGCTCTGAAAGAAATGGCTACTTAAGTAGCATGTATTTTTCTCATTGATTTTCGGTCGTCTGCCGTAAAGACGGCTCGAATCTCAGATCCGTGAGGGTGCCATAAAAGCCCCATTGAGAAGGAGCCATTGCAGGCTGACCCTCAATCCTCACTCGCAGACCTCGGCTCTCCATACACACCTAGTCCAAAACACGCGCATGCATGACACTGTGATATGCGATCCACTCTGCCAGCGCCGTCATGGTGAACAAGACGTTGCATTTCGAACTACCTGTCCCTCACTTAAGCTACAGTTTAGCCTAGTTTATGAAGTCGAGATAAGGTTGTTTGTGGGCATGCCTACACAGACTGTTTCCCCTTGTTAGCCACGGCGCTCAGTCCCATCAGCAGTTATTTGACAGCCTCGGACGCTCGGTTGGTGGATGAGAGGATCAGACCTGCATTGAAGAACCTACCCTCACAACTGATTAGCTCACGCCTCTCTATAATGAATCTGACGCGCCTAAATCTACCGCCACGCGCTTCCAGTCGTGACCGAGAAAGTTTCCAACTGACTTCGCAGTCACTCCATCATAATGCGTATAACTGTGTTCCTCCACGCTGATTGCGACGCAGAGTCCGAGGACACAAGTGACCTGACAATCATCAACAGCCGTCGACGAAGTCCTTGCTAACCATGTCTTGCGAACTGGACACTCATCCAGGAACTCGGCTTAAATCTAGGTATCTCCATTATCAAGTACGATAATACCATTGGAAGGTGGCCTGTTTGGGGATGGTAAAGGATTGCACATTTCATTCAGTTTAAGAGCTTTCCTCGTACCAGCAATGCTGAGTATAGCGCCACATTTGTTTAAGCTCCGCAATATTCTTGTCAGGATATTCCCCAATCATCATCAAGGCACCCGGTACCGACGGATTTTACTGGCGTCGCAGTCCTGGTTTATAAGGTCTGGGCTTGGCTGATGTGCTGATTTCCGGTTTTACGGAAAAAAAATGTGGGCCTTTCTGGTGCTGTTGTCCATGTAAGTTGGCCTGATAGATGCCCTGACGCCGGAAGCTGATTATAAATGTACAAGGCATCCTGTAGTCATTCGCAAACAGTAACCAGTCCTGTATCATTGTATGGCATTGGTCCGTTTCGGCAAACAAGTGTTCTGTCCCGACGAGACCTTTTCTTGACCGTTTCATAGCAGGAAACAGTTGTGTACCTGGTTATTTGCCTGCCGCTTTGTTAGTGCTGAAGTATTTGTTCAGCTAATCTTCCGGTATTCAACCAATGGACACACCAAAAGCCACATCGACGAATGTATTCGTGTGGGTGTGTCAAGTTAGATGCCGATTGCGTTGTCTTGACCTTGGTAACTATGATAGCCCCGATAATACCCACGTAAGGGCTCGAGTGCGGTTCAGACTGCCTTTTCTAAGAAGCCAGTACCTGTAAAGAAATACATTGCGGTTTCTTTCAGCGATCCTGGCGTATCCATGGGTTCCCACCTTGCTAGCTGCAACCACCACTTCACCCCGACACAAACAACAATTTCTAAGGCGTCCTCAATCGGAAGAATACTCTCCGGTGCGTCTAGTTCGCAACAGGCATCCACAAACCTTTTCTCTGTGACAAACTCGTCTGACTCACCACTATTGTCAGGATCGCTGATCTTTAGGGTGGCTCGAGCTATGGACTTTTTAATCGTAAGAATACCCGCTCTGCGTGGCAAGATCCCAAAAATTTCTGGGGTAGACCTGCCCTAAAGCTTTGGCCTTCATGGGCTACTGATGACACCAGGCAAATGAGACCTTTCAGCATCGTCTGTCCATAATCTCATCATTTCTGAGCACGATTCTGTTGCAAAGGTGGTTTTCCAAACTTCAGAAGGCTACAGGCTGGGCTACCTCAGTTTCGGTTCCCTTCGAAGACACCCCGGTCTCGAGGAATGATTAGGATTGTCTGCCATAAGTTCGCCCTGGACATCTTTTGGGATACTGTGACCGAACGTTAATGCGCTTGCAGGTATCTACTTTCCTGTGTAACTCCGTACTTGCCTTCCGACTGTGTTATGGGTTGATCCTACCGCCTTCGACCCGAGTTTTGGGAACAAGAAATTGACCACTGATCGTTACAAGCAATCACTGCACACAACCACCACGACATACATGTTCTCCACCTGATTGCTGTTGCGTTTGTTGCCCACCCTAATTATTTCTGTCTGTGGCTTACTGTGGGGACAAGAGCGGGTAAACTTAACCTTTGTGCGGCCGCCGCGTAGCAGCGTGGTCCCACACTCCTCGTTTCCCGGAACTCTTCAATACCGCCGTTCCATTCTACTCCTATCCACCAGGATTCTCCCCTATCGACCCGGCAGCGTGGGGACATAGCGTTGAAGGTGCGAAATGTCATCCGGTGGCTCGGGCAGCCACTACGTTTTTTGCGGTTGACGAGTCTCCCGTCCTGTCTTGTTGCTCTTGCACCTGTCTATTCAAGGATAGGTTTTCGTAACTTTCTTCGGAACATTGATGTCCCTTTGTACAATTTCATCTGTAGGTGTCATTTGCGCAACCTCTCGATGCGCACTGTTCTGTTTTTGACCATCCTCTTATAGATATTGGGTTTTTTATGGACAGTTTTGTAAATTTGGGATTTCACTGGCCTTTACGCCCTCAATCTCAATTGGTGACCGCGAAAGTGATAAGAGCCTCCTCCTATTTTGGAGATTATCTTGACTACGTCAAATCCGTGCATACGATTGGTGTCCATCGCGCTCTGAGACTTCTGTTGTCATTTACTGTCGTGCTGACGGTTGTCGGGTAGCAGGCGTCTTCCTTAGGCTGTCAAAGTCCCACGACAAGTTTTGTGTGAAATTGTTCTAGAACCCGAGCCAACCCTCCTTCCTTTGCAAGTTGTCCATCGGAGGCTTCGTTGTCCCACCGTTTACTCGGGCCGGCTACTCGTTTGCTTCATTTTTTTATCGAATACAAATTATTTTCTGTGGTTGAGGTATGAACTCCTCCTCCTCCTCCTGCCTACCAAATGCTTTTAAGACTATTGCGGTATTTGCAAACGAAGTTCGCCGACTCGATACTTTCAAGTCCTCATCGGGCTGCTCGTCTTCGTCCTACACCCGTAACTTCTAAGCCCAAGTTTCCTTGTATGCCCTCGCAGACAGACTAGCTGACCCCTGTCAGCCATCTTTACTGCTTTACTTTTATGTACTCCGTTAGATTGGTCACGACAACTGGGTACGCCAGCTCGTATTCCACCCCTATGGCAAGTATCTCCTGTCGGCATCTGATGACAAAACAGTGCGAGTCTGGGACCTCAAAAATCGCCGTTGCCATAAGACTTTGGACGCCCACTCTCATTTTGTGACGACGTTGGGTGAGTTCCCTTTGTGTGTTCCACGTTTCCTGTTTTCCTACGTATTTTTACTTGGTTCTGCACTTTCGGGACGGAAGGGGTAGCAAGTCAGCAGTCTGTCTAGTTTACAATGAAGGACATAATGTCGCATTAACGTTTCTGGAGCCAACCATGCGTCGGACACCGGCGTTGTCGCCGTACGCCAAACATTGTGGACTACGATAGTTTTTTTTTAGCTGCGATGATCGTATTTTCAAACAGAGTGGGGGGAGAAACAAGGTTAGATGAACGAGCAGACAAAAGTATTAGTCTCTTAAATTCATTTGAAACTTGTAGTTACAGGGAAACTGCGGTCTCTCCCTGCACGTAACCTTAAATGGTTCACGTTCTTTTTTTCTCCAGACATTCACCGAAGCGCACCCTACATGGCGACTGGTAGTGTGGATCAAACGGTTCGGGTCTGGGAGTGTCGTTAATTCCCTTCCATCCTCTCCCCTCCTTCCTCTCGTCCTTTTATTCTGCCGCAGCCCTCCCCTCTTCGCCTCTGCTGCAAGAAGCCATCTTGTGAAACCCACCCCGCAGACCATGATCCCTGCTTCGCGTCAATTGTTTTTTTTCCCCTATGGACCCTCAAAATTGGGCCTCAAATTGTCGTCTCATTCCAGTTGCGCCACTCCACCGGCTGGTCCACATCCCAACGCCTTATTTTGGTTAGACGCACACCGAAACACGCCCTGCATCATCCTCATAATAGCCTGCCACCTATGGGTCTGTTTGGTTTCCAGTGAACCATATCATCAGTCTGCCGGGCCGGTGATCGCCTTTCCCTTACTGCTAGGGATACTGTCTTCTTAGACTTATTCCCATCTGACACACTCCAAAGCTCCATACCTATTTTTGGTTTTATTCCTCACTTGCCTATTCCCCTTCCCGGAGTTTCGGGTATTTCCCTCTATGGCCTCCTATCGTCTACCCGCTATCTGACTAATTTGGCATCTTCAGAGGTTAATGGCCACTTTGTCAGTTTTGGAAGTGTACGTGGTGTCCGGCTGACCTTCTGCCTCCGCCGCAGCCTTCTGTTTCATGTTTCTTTGTTTTGCGTTCAAGACTGTTTGTACTTTAGCCCCTCATTTCCTTCCTCCTTAGGAGAGTCAGGTTCCTGTCCTCCACCGACGCGTTATTTTCACTGAGTTCGCTGTTGCTATTGTTGCCGATTCTAATTGGGCAAGGTGAAGTTCTAAACCCTGTTCTTCCCCTGTCTACGCTGAACGAACCTTTGCACTTTCTGCCCCCCGCCCTGATACAGTCATAACGTAAGGAGCTCGAGTCGGACTCTTTTTCCCACTTCTTTCATCTACTGCTGTTGCTGCTGCTGTTAACCATAGACTTGTACATTTTCTCCCCCAACATTCACCCATTTATCTTTTACACCTGATCAATTTTTCCCGTCTTATTTTCACTGGTCCAATGAAACTCGTACTCCTCTTCCCGCCTCTTCTTCTGGTTGCATCTGTGTATTTCGTGCCAAAAAAGCTAACCTTTTACCTGGTTCTGGGTACCGTACGCAGTGTCTCGTCAGGGAGGACTGGGTTCTCCGGACCGTTTATTGCGTCTCAACCGTGACCAGTCTTCAGTTCTAGTGTGTTTTGCTATTGTCGCCGTTGTGAGAGTCAGTGTTTATTCTTAAATAATAAACTACTTAGGAATGGCAACCGAAAAGCCTCTTTACTGGTGTACTGCAGTCTCTCCGTTACACGCTACTCGATGACCTACTTCATACACCGTGTTCCGCCGCACTGGGAATTTTTTGCAGCCAACCTATTCATGCAGTGTGGATCTAGATTTTCTAATTAGTGTAAACGCGCATGTGCCCGGAAGCACACCGCATGGGATGACAGGATTTTCTCCAACGCCCTAGGGTCGTCAAATACTAAACGCGGACAGGTAGTGGTCGCAGTTTTAAAAAATACTTAGTCTGCGGGCGGATTGCCCCATCCTTGTTTCTCTCATTCGTTGTAGTGCAGAGAGAAGAAAACCGCTCCAGGATCCATCTGTTGCCCAGTCGGAATACGTCATAGTCAAGGGGTGTGCCACTGGCATCTTCCGTCAAGTCTACCGGGGATTTACTGCTGGGCCGGATTTTGCAGGGAGCCGATAGCACGCGACTGCCAAATGCCCCCCATGTATCGAGACTCCTTGCCGCAAACGCTGAATCGTCGAACCTCCCCTTTTTATATGAACCCGGGAGATCGGTCAGGGGGCTGCTACCACAAAGGGGGAGCTGGCGCCTGCCATCTAAGGTGGAAGACTGTTCTGGTAGAGCCTATCTGCATTCTGCACAGGCACGCAACGTGCGCTGCTATTTGACGTCGAGCAACAGCTAGGTTTGGTGCCCTATCTGGTCGCATTTATGTGGTTGGAGGTTAAGACCGGACCTGTACACCCTAACAATAACAAATGATGCAGTCTTGGAATGTCACAGCGCATTCGAAGTCGTGGTTGGGAAGGTGGAGATTCGCCAGGCGGCTCAAGATGTCATGAGGTCGTTGGGTGTACCAATTTCTCTTAAAGTGACTGTGAATTCTTTGCTTTTAGGAAAGTCGTCTGAATTTTTCTTCCTGCAGTTACTGCCCTTCGCTACTTATCAAAATTTCAAGTAGTGCTGTACAGTCGGATTTTGACCCAAAATTGTCCTGTTCAGGAATTTTAACTTTTTAATCCGGCAAATGCGGACTTATTGTCCTAGCTTCAATTGGCGGCTCCCTCGTATTAAGCCAAGTAAGTCCTACATAACTGCTACCGACGATGTTCACCGTATGCCTCACAGCAAGGTGGGTACAGGGACGGTGAATTGCGTGTGATTTATAGCGATACCAGAAGGGCGTAGGGATGTCCAGTTAAGGGCATCGTGCATGAGTTGCAGATGCAAATGGCGACTTCTCACGATCCTTACCTGGCACCCAACTCTCACCTGGGGCCTCCCAAAACTAGACTCTGCCTAACGGCCACCCGCCGATAGCCGCCTTAACCAGCGAGCTAATCCAGATGACGGTATCCGCTGTTGTGTGTCCCCATACCCGGTAATTTTGTTTACATCCCCTCCTCCCCCCATCCTGCCGTTTTCCCCTCTCCTCACCCCCCCTCCCCACTTTAAAATCTGACGGAGAGGGTGACATGCTACCCTGTAGGCGGCTCAGGCCAACTCAGATCGCTTTCCACTCTACAAGGCCATAGCGACCCATAGTGGAGGTGGGTAGTCGTCCGAGATATCTGAGCAGCCCTATTTAGGGACAGTGCGGCTTATCCCCTGGTGGATGCTGTAAAATCACCCCATCTGCTAATATACCTTGGCTCGCAGATGCAAAACTCGCGGTCGGAAAACTACAACGAACAACAGACATCCTCGTCCCCCTACTCTGCAGGCTGTTAGGGTGAGTCCGTTCATTCCGGCGGCCTGCAATGCTCGTCCCCTTTTAGACAATCTGAGGAACAACTAGCCGGAACACAGGGCGGCGTCAGTATCTCAAGAACTGGCGCGCTGCATGGTGGACATCGCTGCTCTCAACTAGATCCGCTTCTCCGATAAAAATCAACTGGAGGAGATAGGTGCGGGCTACACATTCTTTCGGAGTGGCCGCCCAAAGGCAGAGTGATGAGATGAAGGCGTCGCCTTTACCATCCGAAGCGACAGCGCGGGACGACTGCCTTATCTGCCTCAGGACGCCGACGACCGCCTCATAATTCTGCGCCCACTTCTTCAGAGAGCCAAATGTACTACTATTGTCAATGTCTATGCCCTGCCGATGACTAGCTCCGACGAGACGAATACCAAGTTCCACAACGATCTCCACGCCCTCTTTGCTACTGTGCCCAAGGTGGGCAAGCTGGTTGTCCTTGGTGATTTTAACGCCCGCGTCGGGACAGACTGCGTTGCCTGGAAGGGGCTACCGGCTGCAACGACAACGGTCTCATTCTGCGAACCTGCGCAGAACACCGCCCCCTCCCATCAATACAAGTAGAAAGGGGACCGGCAACTCTGAAGGAACCATGAAGGAAACTCGCTGCACAGCATCGCTTGCATTATACTCAACCGTCACAACGGCCATCTCTAAACGTTACCGATGGCCCGTAAACCACCACCATTGCCATTACCACTCCCGCCTTCAGCGGTGGGGCTCGGTCCCAACCTGTCACCATTGTGATCGCACATTCACCTCACGCATCGGTCTGGTCAGTCACTTGCGAATCCATCTCATTGCGACAGTCGGGCAGTGCCAAAAGCACCACATACACTCACCACATCCGCCATCACCGTCCACGTACGTTCATTAACCGCACATGCATATCCACAACAGCAGAATTCACCACAATATCGACACAAACAACGCATCTTGCGCATCCACCAACCCTCACATCCCCAGTCCTATCGCCTCGCCATCGACCAGCGCTCCCAGCATTAGCAGAACTACACCGACAACCGATCTAACATCTCCCAATCTATCCTGCCCACCCTGCCGTCGCACGCCCACCTCACGCATCGGTCTGGCTGGTCACTTGCGAATCCACGGCGCAGAGGTTGGCGAACCGATGCCTAGAACACCGACAAACATCAGACGCCATCGCCTCAACTGCCCGCACTGCCCCCGCGCATTCAGCCCTCACGTGGGCCTATTCGGCCAAATGCGCCTTTAGGGAAACCTGCGTTAAATCACCGCGAACATGAATACATCACCACGCATTCCCCGGTCAACACATGAACACCGCCGATACCCCACATCGCCAGCACCTCCGACGTAAGTGGGAAGTGCGCTTTTCGGCTCCATTCTCCATGTGAATTCTCCGTCTTATGTGAGATCGAAGCCTTCCACCCTCTGAGCGCAATTCCAATGCGTGGGTGTGTGAGCCAGGTCGCGTGTGCGGCACGCGCATTGGGGCTCTCCGGTTCTGTCAGCCACTGCGTCCATTTCCCACGCCAGACATCTGACCGGCTCAGACAGTGGCTGGAGCATGAGAAAGGGAGAGTGAGGTCGACGTTTCAGCGCACATTATTCTCTATAGACAATCTAACACGCTAAAAGCTATCACGACGCGCTAAAATCCGTGGCTTGGGAGGTTGCCAACTGAAGGAACAACTCGGAGGTCATAGTCAGTTCGGTGTGTGTTTGTGTTAGTTGGTGGTCCGGTGAACTGAGAGTCAGGCTGCAATGAATGCTTCTTACTGTGGGTTTTATGGCACTCACATCAAGTGGGACCAGAGCCGACCCCCTCTTCGCTTATTGTGTGTAAAATACTGGTCAGTGTGCGTTATGGACCGTGGAGTGTCGTGGCACGCATGGGTGTGGGTTTTCGCCGTGCCAGTCACCAGCCACCTTTCCGGCCTCCGGCGTGGGAGAAGTGTGTTAGATGCTGTGCAAGTCTACAGGCACCCTCACGCATGTGAGGAGTGTGTATGTTTATACATGGGTAGTGTCTCTCG